GAAATGCGCTCCCCCACCCGCGCCTAGATACACCACTGGTATAATCAGTAAACGTTCTGTAAAACCTCGTTAAGTAAAATTCAATTTTGTAAAACTTAATTCTATAAAACTGAAATTTAACGTAATTAGCCAATTAGTGATGAAGTTAAGTGTTTACCAGATTGACTTCGACCAACTTCTCCCAGTTGTCTTCACCACCAATTCCAGCATTATTACAAACTATATCGATTTGACCAAATCGGTTCTGGACTTCACTAAAAGCTCCTAAAATATTATCAACAAATCAGATCATAATGAGAAAGATAGTTTACAGTAAAGGTTGGATAGCATAAATTTTCATTGAACGCAATAGCAATTTCTCGTCATAGTTTTTTAGCATATATTTTAGTTTTACCTTCAAATTGTTGTTTATCTGTGACGTCACATTGTATAAAATGCACTTTTTCTTCGCCATATTCATTAGCCAGTTGTTTTAAAGTCGCTTCTCCTTTTGTTTTCTGAATATCTAAAATGCCGACACCCTAAAACAAGAACGACATTATAAGATTATATGCTAAAGGTACATCAGTTTCAATGCGATTGAGACAGTAGAGCCTGATTTCCTGAAAATCGCTACACTGCTGTAGTGTTTTCAGTGCGTACTGCATAGGCCTAGCGGTCTCCGACACAATGGGGAAGGTTTCCCGATTTGACCGACCAATCTACATCACCGAAAGCTTTCAGCGATAGCATGTAGCGATTGTATGGAAACCATGCTTAAGAGTAGGTATGCATACAGGACTCACTTCAATTGACCGAAATAGAAAGGATAAGAAAGATACTTGACCTGACCCATGTAGGCACTGGTTTTCTTGCTTTCGTATATTATTTTAATGTGCAATATGCTAAACTGTAGGCCTACATACCTTGATCTGTTTTTTCAACAGCTCTTCAGCAAAAGCCCTTCCAAGACCTTCAGCTGCACCAGTAATCAACGCAACTTTACCGGACAACTCCATGCTAACGTCTCCGCAGTTTCCTTTGAGAGCTTCCACGTAAATTATTCCACTTTATATAACTTTGCTACGCGGTATTAAATTTAACTATGGATATACTTTTTTATGCGCTGGATGAAGTAGAGGTCGATTTTACCTATTATGACTTTTTAAATATTTTAAACACCATTAAACCATGGAGAAACCATAGACAATGTACGCTTAAGAAAGAGGGATGGAACTCCGGACCTGCACAGTTTCGAATACCTATCATCAACTCTCTGCTACCATAATATAGTAGAATTGGAGACGCTTATCGACTGTGGCTCCAGGCAGAGATTTAACAGGTCAATCCTGAGCCTGTCATATCATTACAGGTATCGAAGGCCTGTGTGGCGTAATAAATAATAATTGTGCAGTTAATGATCATTTCCGGCATTCGTATTGTAAACGGATATGGTCTTGATGTCATAAACGAAGCAAATAATTGGAAGCAAATGTGTATTGAATTTAAAAAACAAATATTTTCCGTCATATACCTTTATCAAGTTGGTTACTGTATAAAGTAAGAATATTTATACGGGATCAGGATACATGGATTGATGCGCTACATGAAGACAACAACAGTAGGCCTAAACAATTACTCAGAATTCTTATAATTCAATTAAATTCTTTAATTATTTATTCATCATCAAATAAATTTACAAATAAACAAACTTTTAAAATGTTTTAAAGTGGATAACAGACTGTAAAAGACCTCCAAGAAACTCTATCTAAATGTTTTAACCTTAAACAAACAAACATAGGCTCCCAGCGGAAGAAGGCGTGTATTTCGAGTCGGTCTTGTTAACAGAGGCAGTTAAAGTCAGGCTCCGGAGGAAAAAAAATTGATATGTTGTAGAACTGATTTCTTAGACAGAAAGAAGTTGTTTGATCAAAACTGAGCAACGGTGAATGAGATACAGATTTTTTAATATTTAAAAACTGGGGGAAAAGGTGTAAAAATGGTCGGTAACGCCCCTTTTCCCCCAGTTTTTAAATATTCAAAAATTTGTAGCTCGTTCACCGTTCCCCAGTATTTCGTCAAACAACTTTATTCTGTCTTTAAAAAATCAGTTCTACAACATATCAATTTTTTTTCCTCCGGAGTCTGACTTTAAAGGAGTAAAGGTAACACAATACTATTAAATTTATAATAAACACATGAATAAAATTTATGATAAAATTAATTAAATTTATGAAATTTATAAAGAAATAACAAGATAAAATTTATAACCTGATAGAACGATAAAAATGATAATTAAAATAATGATAAAACCATTTATGAAATATTAAACCGAAATACGTCTGTATAGTCTGTTTTAACGACAAGAGAAATTGTGCCAAATTAAATTCTAGGAGGAGCACTATGAAATGTTTTTGTGGAAAACACATTCCAATCCACCTCTCATTTTGCAAACGAAGACATACTAGTGGCTTTTAAATTTGGATAAAAACTGACATTAGTAAATGTGACCTGTATTGTTTTTGAAGGTGGTTTGGCGCAGCGGGTATTTTGGTTCCCCAACCTCGAGGTCGGTCCCTCGCTGTGCACTTCGCTTGTGTCCTTAAGCAAGGTATTAGGCTGCGCGTTCAACAACTTTCAACAAATTTTATTATGATTTCACTTTAACATTACAGTAATTGTTGGTGCATCCAGAAAATAATACAAATATATTAAAGTACAATATAAAAGTGACTACAGTAGAAACAAAATTACAAAATACTACCACCAACCTCCCACCCCACAATAATTCCCGTTAGTTACATATATTGAGATTAAAGGTACAAAAAATTTAAATTTGTCATACAAATTTGACAATAAATAAATAAGAAAAAAAAAATTAATAATTGCTTCTGGTACCTCGTGGGGTTGTCTGCTACTGCGCCAATATGGCATACGAGCCCAGTGACCAGGGAAAACAAAGCTCTTTGTAACCTAAATGAAAGGTACTATATAAATACTAGTAACAAATAAAAAAACGCTGTATAACAAACTAGAGTGATACCTCCGCCCACATCATAATTACCCCTGTACAAAATTCCCATGCATGTTCTTAAAAAAATAATGAAAACAACCTTCACCAGGGTTCGAATCTGAGACCTGTCGCTTATAAAGCGATCCGATAGCAATTGAGAGCCTTCAATCACACATCTACACCCAAATCTGTCACCAAAATTTATTAATTTCTTCTTTGCAGGGACGTATCCAGGGGTGGGGGGGGGGAGCCGTTGCCCCCCCCCCCCCCCCCCCTTGTACACAGTGTTAAAATTTTAAAGCTTATTCTTGAGCCAATACAAATTCTTTCCTGGGAGCACTCAAAATGAATACTTCTAAAACATGTAAATATGCATCAGTACACGTACATACATAGACCTATTAGAACACATGGGCCTAAGCGTGATTTAAAAAAATCTTAAATCCATAATCTTTTTTTAAGATAGAAATGTGATACTGTGGTTCAATTTCGTTTTTATCCTTTTCCAAGTTTCTTTAAATGTTTGTACTACTAATAATACTACTACTACTAGTAATAATAATAACAATGATGATGATGATGATGATGATGACGATAGTAATAATTGATAATAATATTAATAGCAATAAAAAGTGAAGAAAATTGTGCTAAATGCGAAAAAAGGTTGTGATTTGTTGATCATAATATATACATTTAAAGCTTAGTAAGCTATAGTTAGGCCTAAGTTGTCCTGGGTATTAAGTAGATCCCTAATAAAAGATCATGAGAAATTTGTTGGCGTTTCATTTTGACTATAATGGTGATGTGATGATGATGAATTTTACTACTGTATATAAAAGTGTCCTTTCCGGCCATCTAGAGAGGTACTCTTTCCTCAAATTTTCTCACCTCAGCCATGGTGGGGCTGAGGTGGTTGTGAAATCACGTTTTTGAAGTAGGCCTATGTAAAGTACATAGTCAAATACTGTACAATGTTTTTAAGCTTTGTTTTCTGTGGTATATCACACCATGGAGGTATGATCACACACACATTAATAAGATCTCTATCATAGTTGTCAAAAATCCCTGATAATAGATCATGAAAATTTTTTTGGCGCTTAATTATGACTAATGGTGATGTGATGATGATGAATTTTACTAAAAGTGTCATCTAGAGGTACTATTTCCTCAAAGTTTCTCACATCAGCTCCAACCATGGTGGGGCTGAGGTGGGTGTCGACTCACAAAATGCCCTCCACCTTTCAAAACAGATCTGTGCCCTTCCCTGGGTATGACATTAAACTCCATCGAGTCGGCTCCTGATGTATATCTTAGTGACTGTTGTTTGTTTTTAGGATGTGATCTGGTTTTTCATGTCCATTTTTCGTGATTATGACTATTCTGGACAAAGAATGTTTTGAGCAGAGTTGGAATCAAGGCCCCCTCCCCTTCATTTTTTAAGAAAAAAAAAAGAAAAATATATTCAAGTTGAAGTGCGAGAGTGTAATTTCCGGCCGTCTAGAGATGCCCTAATCATAAATTTTCTTACCTCGGCCCCAACCATGGTGGGGCTGAGGTGAGTCGAATTCCTGGATCTGCCACTGTTGATTTATTATATAAATATTTTTGCGCTTATTATAATGCGTCTATTGCAATTTTCACTTTATCCTCTCAAACAGTCCTAAGAACGTCCAGAGTGCGCTACTTCACAGGGGGATTCGCCCCCTTGACCCCGCCGGGGTCCTACGTAATTCGTATAACGGCTCCCCCCCCCCATTTCAAAATCCTAGCTACGTCCCTGCTTCCTTGTATCTTTCTTCGAAAGTTTCATTCAGAATTGTTGATCAGTATTCGGTACGATAACACGTCAGGTAGGGCAAATCATCACTCCCATACAGTATTTCATATTATGGATCAATCTGTAATTACCGGAGCCAATCAACGGTTAGAAGAGCTAACAAATATAATGCAATGCACACTCTAGCATTTCGTGATAATTGGGAACTAAACGTTTTTTTTTTTTTAATGAAATAATAGGTTTAATAAAAGTGGACCTTTTGGAATTTGGGGGGAGCATCCGCACCCTCTGCATCCCTACGGACCTGTTGTTGTTGAATAGTGTATTCTTTACGGGTTCCAGAGTAAACCTATAGTAAGCCTGCAGCAAAGAACGTTATCTGTAAAATAAAAGTCCGCGATTAATATTCCAAACGAAACAATCGGCAAAACCTGCGACATACTTACATTTTCAGTAACTATTGTTATTATAAGCATATCACGCCTAATATTGTTTGTTTTAAATATAGGCCTAAGTCTACTATTGGTACGCAACTGGAAATGCATGCTATTTCTTACGTTTCCTTACATTTAAAACCTTTGTACCTGTGTCAATTCACATGGACGGTCACTTAAGTTTACCCTGACAACAAAGCTCGGCGCCGTGAAAGCTAAGTGACAAAGGTCAAGTATGCTGAAGTTAATGGTTTGGTTAGTTGATTTTATTAAAAAAAAAAACTAACCTTTAATATCTGCTTCTTCAACAGTTCTTGTGCGAAAACATTTCCAAACCATCGGCAGCACCAGTTATCAACGCTACCTTTCCTTTGAAAGGTAGCCTGAGAGTAATATGAACGCAACATTCATATTACTCTCAGGCTACCGTTCATTTACTTCTTGCCTAAGCCAGGGATTTGTTATTTAACAATAACATTGAATAAGATGTCCTTGTTTGAAGTTATGAACGAAAATACTAGTACAGGGCACTGCACCGTACATGAGAAAGTTCATTTTAGGGGAGAGTACAGCCGTTTTAGTGCACTTCAAAAGTACTGTACAAAAATATAACATGGTTTCCAATACTTTGAGCTATTATGTAAATAAACACAATAAATAATAGGTATAATAACAACACAATAACATGCTGAAATGCTGTCATTTATTCCATGCTCATAGTTTGATTCAGTTATGGTTCAATCTATACTATCGGTAATTTTATGACACGCCACACGTCACATTGATCTTATCTGTATAGTACTGTTCAGAAAGACAACTATCGAATTGAACAATGTGGACATTTTTTTAAACAATTTATATTTGTATTTCAGTAAATTTATGACACGCTACACGTCACATTGATCATATCTGTATAGTACTGTTCAGAAAGACAACTATCGAATTGAACAATGTGGACATTTTTTTTAACAATTTATATTTGTATTTCTTTGTATTTTTGGAGGTCTATTCCGTTAGCATCTGTTACGCGCATGACTTGGCCAGTATGATCTTCTTCAATCAACTTCATAAACGCCTCTGCGACAATAGATACTCTGAAAGATAAAATAAAATAATAATAACAAGAGCACTCATTAGAGAGCATATTTCCACCGCCAAATTAAAAACTACAATCTACTTTTAAAAAATTACACCAACACGAAAGTTTCATTTAGATAAGTTGTTTAGTTTTTGAGATATCTGATCTGCGACGTTATTCTTTGAATGGTCCATAATCGACCCCATAATGTAATCACTTGACATTTCGAACGCCTGTTATTGTATCAGTTGTACACCTGTAAATTCCTGACATGATCTGTTTTAACTTACTGGCAAGTTTTATGCTTATAGCTGACAAACAAAATACAACCCCTGAGTTGTGGACCACTTTCGAAAGATTTTGAGCGTCGCCCCACCACACCCACTTTTGGGGGTGCTACCGTGGTGGTACAAAAGGATCTGCATTATTTGATGAAGAAAGAATGTGAGGTGAAGGATTCAAAAGGCGGGCGTGGGAAGCTGTATCGTGCCCCTCTAAATTTTCAAAATGAAAAATAAAATATAGAGGAAAAAAAGAGAATTAAATTTTAAGTCTGAGAGTGCCATTTATGGCCATGTAGAGGTGTCATTGGAGTGTACCCACATTATCTAATTTGACGACTATTGAACTACATAAACGTCAACTTACGGTAGAATTCTGAATTTACTAATTGATTTTGTTAAATCTTCCTTGGTTACTCCATACGGTCGCGAGAGTTTGATGATAGCAGTATCAGCAAATGACGGACAGAGAGCATTAACTCGTATACTGTTTGTCCTGATCGTCGGGTTACCCTAATGGGGAAAATAAAGAAATAATAAAAAAAAAATTTAAATTATGAAAATCTGTCGTATTTTTTGTATCATTATCTCTGTATCAGCCTTTACCATCATAACGAATACATTTATGTGATGTTTTGCTAGTGAAAAGATTGCCGATGAATTCATCTGTGCTTTTTGTGATGAGCTATCATCAATGCAGATGCAACTTCTTATGAAATCTTCAACATCCATTATCTGCTTGGGGAGAGCTGGGGGGGGGGGAGCCCAAAGCCTGGGCCTTACACATTTTAACACATTTTAACTGTAATTCCTTGACGAATGTTTTAGTGCAAGTGCTACGAAGCATAAGGGGAAATAGATACAGTACTGATAATTGCTTGGAAAGGGCATATTCCTGTTGATAATGGGGGCTCTGATGGGATACTGTAATATTATTAAAATAAAATAACCTACCGCTAGACTTCGGCTTAAACCCACTACTGCATGTTTTGTGGCAGCATAAACAGGTGAGAATGGTACAGATACAATTCCTGTAAAATAATCCGTGTTTGCGAATAACAAAAGTGAAATATAATAAACATATTTGCCCACTTGCTTCTAGTTTTTCAAGTGGGCCAATGTGTATATTTTTATTTCACCTTTGCGAATAACAAAGAAAGTGACTACGATTATGAGGATAATGAAATGTAAAAGCATAAGTTTAGTGATGTGAAAGATTTCAATGATTCAAAATCCCTGACATTTTAAACATGTCATTGCAGACTCTGACCTGATATCGCACATGATGCGATGTTTTGTAAAAAGAAGTTGGTCAGAAGATCGTACGTTTGTGTTGTAGGGGAATGGAACTGTCCTTACGACGAAAGCCGTCTAATCAAGCTCTATAGAATAGCCGACCATATATGTGAGAAAATATATGGGGATATGAAGATGGGGCCAATTCATTACGCACTTTGAATGCGAGAACCCATTTTGCATGTTATTCTTGCTTGTAATGCAAGACATTGAAGATGTTCCAGAAGTATATGTTCATATGTTATGGTTGCTTGGTTCTGGTAAATAGTCTTGCACCCCAGTCAAAGGAACATGTATAAACTCTTTTTTTTATGAAATTGTCCATTTTTATTTAATGATCGATATGATTACTTGAGGCAGGTCACTTACCAGCCATTGAAGCGACATTTACAATAACACCTCCTGTGCCACCATTTGCTTTACTCATATACTCAGTTGCCAAGTGACTCCCTCTAATAACTGCTGTCTAAAAAATATGAAATACAATAATATCACTCATAGACCTTCAACAAAAAGTTCCTTTTTCAGTTGTATGAATAAAGTGTCTCTGGCAGGATTTGAACCAGCCTTTTGCTATAAAGGCGAGTGTCATACCATTAGACCACAACGACCTATAGGCTAATAATGGTAGGTGCAGATCTAAACCTCACTCTCATACAAATTAAAATTTAACCCCCAGATACAATATGTGTCAGCGTAAAAAGAAAATGTCTGGAGTTAGAGGCTAGATCTGTGCCTCTATTCTACTCTGTCTAGGGTGTGAGAGAGGCTGATGGTTCAAATCCTGCCAAAGACACTTCGTTCATACAATTGAAAAGGGAACTTTCATTGAAGGGCTATATGCTTACAACACACAGTATGTCATCGCATGTTCCTATTCAAGCACTGTTATTATGATTTATCTTTTGTTTATTCATGACAATTCTATAAAACATAATTTATGTCTATACTGTACTGTACCAGATTAATTTCGACCATCTTCTCCCAGTTCTCTTCATCACCAATTCCAGCATTGTTACAAACTATATCGATTTGTCCAAATCGGTTCTTGACTTCACTGAAAGCTCCTAAAACATTATACATTTAGTCAACAATAACAAAGCAATGAGAAAGACTAACGAAGAATGTGTGTTACGTCATGGTACCATGTGATACTGCTTGTTTCATCAACCTACCAAGCGGCAGATAAGCTTAATGCCTCGATAAGCCACACTCCCCACTGATTTTAACTGAGCAGGGGTGGTACCAAGATTTTCCCGAAGGAGGGTCCCATGTCCCCGACAGGGGAGGGGCAGCTTTCCCCAATAGGGGACTACCCCCAGCCAATAGCACCACCCCTGCAACAGACACTAACAGAATCTAATAATTTCCAATTAAAAATGTTTTAAAAACACTTAAATATATTAGTTATCCAATGTAAAATAAATTGCAAATATAAATTTTCATGGCAGAAATATAGATTAAATGCTGCAAAAAGGTTGAAGGGTGTCAGTTAAAAATCTATGGCTCAGTGTACCGCTGCTGAAATTGATGCAGTGTTTTAATGGTGTTTTACCTTCAAACTGTTGTTTATCGGTGACGTCACACTGTATGAAGGACAATTTTTCATCACCATATTCATTGGCCAGTTCTTTTAATGTTGCTTCCCCTTTTGTTCGCTGAACATCTAAAATGCCGACAGCCTGAATATAATTAAAATACACACTTACATATTCCTCCACTTTAACGTAAAAAATGTCTCCGGCAAGATTCGAACCTACAACCTCTCCCTGACAAGCCGAGCATCATACCTCTAGACCACGAAGGCCTATCGGTGTAGTAACAGATCCGGCCAGACAAACACAACTGATATAGACCTTGCAAAGTGGGGCTGTGATAAGAACTTTTCGTTCCTGAATTTGAGTACCCTGTTTCTATCATTTACGGTACCTATTTGCCTATATGTATATAAAGACCTAGAAATACATCAATATAGATATATAGGGGAATTCCCCCTTCCATCGAACCTGAATCGTTCATTGCGTCTCACGACCGGATGGATATTTTGCAGGGACGACTTTTCTGAGTATGAATGATGTCTAAAATGTTCTTAACTTATTCATACGTGTTCATCCTCATACCCAAATAATAGAGCACAAAACAGCTTTTTGGAAAAGGAAATGACAAAGGTTGTTAAGCCTATCAGACAATGCACAATACGTAGGGTTTATGCATGGAGTTTCGTTTCCAGGCTTATATGATTATACTATACAAATTATGCCTACTTAAGCATGCAAGATCATTCTGAAACAGCCTGTAGAGAATAATATTTTGACCTGTCCTTTATAAAGGTACATGAAACAAGTTCTTGTAATCAGTGGCAGCTCTAGGATATATTTTCTGGGGGGGGGGGGAAGGGCTGAGCTGTCTGACAGTGGGCACTTGACCTTGTAGGCCTGAGCTGGGGGAAGGGTTCGAGAAGGGAGTTCCCCTCCCAAATGAGGTTTTTTTTTTAAGAATAGGAACCGCTCTGGATGGCACAAATGACACTCTCGTACTGTGACAGATATGTGTTGGTGTGGGCTAATTTTTATATCTTTTTTACTCCCCGACGAGCTCTGTCCAATGAGGGGGCTTGACCTGTGTGCTGTGTGGTGGGGGGACTTCTGAGCCTCCGCTGGCGACGCCACTGCTCGTAATCTTGAAACCTCCGATGAGATTCTAGTGGCCCTAACGCCCGCTCATATCAATCAGCCAGGTGATTCTAGTGGGCCTAAAGGCAGCCCATTCGAAATTTTATTAATTAATCAATCAGCAGGGTACCCATATAGCCTGGGTTTCAAAACTTTTTTGTTACTCACTCTTTATTGCACTTAGTGCGCGCCATACCTAATTTAATTTCTTTTTTGTTTTCGGATTATTCCATCACTAAATTAACTTTCTCGTTGGTGGCGCTGTCCAGAATGAAAAAAAAAATACAGTAAGGACTTGTGTGTGGTCTAGATAATCCTAAATTTCCTCATCGGCCGCTAAAACCTACCAAAAAGCACACGTATTACCACTATGTATTGGGTGGAGTTGAGTTTTAGTAATATATATCATTTTGTTGAGCCATCAATGTTGTAAAGTCGTTAAGTAGTATTCAATAAATGGACGCATACTGTACAACCAGCAGTAAGTAGGGCCTACTCTACCAGTATATATTTACACAAGATTCAAGGTCTGGGCCACCGTGGGTTGAGGTTGGGGATTATCCCCCTGTAAAAACGAACCTTGATCTGCTTCTTTAAAAGTGCTTGTGTAAAAGCTTTTCCAAATCCCTCGGCAGCACCGGTGATTAACGCCACTTTGCCTGCAACATTCATAATGACCGTCTATCAGTTACTTTATTATGTCAGTTGCTGTAACAGTGACACCTTCTTTTATTTAATAGGTCAAATTGAACACCGTCCAGGGTAGAGGGCAGGCATAAGGTTCATGCGATCTTCGGACCGAGAACGCCTCGCGTTATTCGCAAACAGTATACTTTAGACGGTCATGACCATCGGGGATTCCCCTTTACTCTTCGGAAATATTTCAATTCATTTTATTTGGCCCTGTGATTGCCAACCTTAATTAATTTTCGATTTATTTGCTACCTTCAATTCGCTACAAGTCGAATTCCCCCCCCCCCCAGGGTCGTCATAAAATAGCCTTTAGTGAACCAGACACCTATTTTGAGCCTAGGAGTAAAACATATAGGCCTAATCATTGTGCAGTCAACTCAAACTTAAATAAATTTATTTAAGTACTTGAAACGTAAACATATAAAAATAAAATAATTATTGAAATTAACATATATTTAATACTTTATTAGAATAATTATAACTAAATTTATAAACGAAATTGAATTTCATTAAGAGATATTATGTTCAATTGAAAATGGCAGCCTACATTGGGTAACAGGGTTTCGGGTAACAAATAAATAAGTGTTTGTTGTCCAGGCTCGTGTCTTAAAATTTAACAAAACCGGTAGTATATAAGCGGAGACTGACAGATGTTGTGTTCATCTATGCACGTTATTAAATAATGGAATTATAGGAAAATTATACTGTATAGGCCTAGAGGCCCTACATGCCCAGGCCTACTAGGCCTAGCCAAGGTAAGCTAAGTAAGCCTAGCTAGGCCTAGGCTCTCTATATAGGCCTATTATATAATATGGAGTCGATCGGTAATCGGCTTCGAAGCTTCGGCCTTCGAGATCTTGTTGTGCTGCTAACGTGTTTGTTGGGCGCATATTTACTACGTGTGCGAGATAAGTATCGGCTTCATCCAGCCTGGCGCATGGAAAGCGATTTTTCCCATTTGTCAAACAACCAGTTTTCTCGGAATTGGGAGAAGTTGTAAGTATAGTATAATTCAGCATATTAAAGATTGTACTTTTCCCAGGTAGGCTAGGCCTCAGCCTCCTGACAGTGATGATTGTATCTTAATTCTTATAAATACTGAAGATGGAGAAATGAACATATAGGCCTTGTCCTACAAAGTTTGCTTAAACTTACTAACTTACAGTATTTATTAATAAGGTTAGGATTGGAGTACACCTCATTGTGTTACTATTGTTAAAACTGCAAACAAATTATAGATATGTACAATAATCACTGCTTATATTTCTTACATGGATCATTGCAGAGTAATGTTAAAAAGTATAACATTATTTTCCTTCTTTACCGTACATTTAAACCTATCATACTATATATATTTTGCCAACTATAATAGGTCATGACCTCTACTAGTTTTGGGATTTCTGATTGTTTCAATTGTTTCCATTGTTTTTTGTCTCACTGAACAGTTTAGTTTTGTTGTCTTCTTCTGTATACTATACATAATTTGAGGGTTTGTTACCAAAGTTTTTAGTTAAATTTTGTTTCCTATTCAAATTTCAGACCAAACCCCAAAATCACAGACATTGAAAGTGATGGACATAATGGTAAGTTGGTACTATTTCAGATAAGTGTTATCCAAATCTTTGATGAATAAAAAAGTTGAATACAAAAATTACATTTTTTTTTCTCTCCGCAGAAATTGTAATCGCTACACATACAAATCTGCCAAGGCTGAAAATTCTCAAACTACCCGACCTAGATAACTCATCATCCAAGATTTTGCCTTTCATACTTGAACAAAGTTCCGTTTCACTTATAAGTAAAGACGATCAGAACCTGGACTACAAACGTCCGGTCCTGATTGAGGTGGGTTTCTTGGAGCCATATAAGTCTGTGGTTCAAATTCGAAAACAAGTAAGTAACAAGGCTTTTTAGCCATAGCTTGCCTAATGGTTTGCTGCGACATAAAAAATAGCACTTGATATTTTAGGGGTCTCAAGTTGGAGGGTGTTGGTGTAGGTGCTCAAATAAGCGATGCGGCGCTTATAAAATTTTTGAAAGCTTCAGTGCGGCGCTTAATCGAGAGCAGTGCTTATAAAAAAATATTGGCGTGGCGCTTTCCATGCTACCTATTTCACGTATTCCTGTAGTTTGGTAGGCTTATCGTAGTTGCTAAGTCATCGTAAATTAACGTTTATAAAGAAATGCTTGTCTTTATTGTTATTTATTCATTTTAACACTATTTAAAACCCTGTGTCTCAAAGTGTTTCATTACACACAGGGTAATATAACCGCGGCGCTTATTCGAGGGCGGCGCTTAACAAAAAAAAATCATGTTTGGTGCGGCTCTTATTTGAGAGTGGTGCTTATTCGAGCATTTATGGTATTAATATTAAATTTAAAAATGTGAGTTTTATTTGCATATTATTGTATTTCTTTAAAAAAGTTTGTTCATGCAGAATATCCTATAAGATTTAATTTATACTAATATTATTGTAATATAATAATATTTATTATCCCATTGTCCTTTTATTTTTCAGGTGGTGGTTGTTCTTCTTGCTGATACTACTGTTTTATGTTTTGATTACAAATTAAGGTTATTGTGGAAAAAACAACTCAATACATACCTTGACTACACTAAATACTATGTCAAGTAAGTTCAAAATTGTTATGCTTTTTTTTAATAATCATTTTATACTACATTTATTCATTTAAAGATATTTTAACCTTTTCTATTTATTTATTTTTTATTTATTTATTTTTTCTTTGTATATACTGTGTTCAAACTGAGCCTACTGTGGTTTGCAATGTGGCTGTTTACATTTTGTACCCACTGTGTATGTCACATGACCAGTAATAGCTGGAGGCGCCGATTCAGTCTATTTTGACCGATGCATCTCTTTTTCCTTTGCTTGATTGAATTTGCTACCTTTAGATGTGTTTCACCGACTCTTTCTAAAACATCCTTGTTGCTAACCCTGTCCATCCACTTGATGTTAGCCATTCTTCTCCACAACCACATCTCACATGCATCTATCCATTTACTGTCAGCCTTTCTCCAGGTCCATGTCTCTGATCCATATAGCAATACACTCCAGATTAAGGACCGAACCAATCTCTTTTTCAATTGAAGACAAAGACCACCAGTAAATAGCGATTTATTCTTTTCAAACACCGTCTTTGCCATGCCTATTCTTGCTCTAATGTTGTTGTTCCTTGTAATGTTTGCAACATTTCTTTATGTCATCAGAGAAGCTGCTATTTTGATATCATCGCATGAGCTCAGTCCAGACGATGGTGGTTTGGTTGTCGTTGGTTACAGTCTTGGTGATAGGCACCATTTTCAGCAGACCGCAAGGTCAGTCTATTAGCTAGTTACACGGTAACGTATGGATACATTAATGTAGGCTATAATATTCCTGCTGATAAAGGCCAGAGAAGGGATCAGAAATAATAATTGTTACATTTTGTGCCAGTACTTATCATGTATAGAAATAATATAATTAAAATGCTTTAATTTTTTTTTAGGCACAGTCAAGAAAAACCAAGTAAGCCTTTAGATAATATTTTTGACAAGACACCAGATGAACGAATGGTGAGACTTATTGATATTTATTTGCCTCTCCAAATGAGCAAGTCTCTAGAGAGGCTTTTGATGTTTATTTTGGGACAGTGGTGTGGGCGATCAGACGTCAATTCAAGATTCTTTATGCGCCTTCCGGTATAATTTAACAGCCGACCAGTAAAAAGTGTGTGTTGATAAAGAAAAATACCACTGATTTTACTTAGGTGGCCTAGGCTGGCCTTCTTTCCACAAATAAACAGCATTCCAGGCCTAAGCTATTGTACACACTGTTGATTTTTCAAGTCATTTAACCCCCACCTGAGTGATCTAATGTCTCGCGCTGTGCGCTCGACTGGCGTTTATGGACGTATTTACTGTAAACAAATTTTGATTGGGAGAACACTAAGTACTCACTTGTGTTGGTGGTGGTTTCCAAGATGAAAATATCTCTAATTTACTTCAAATTGCTATCTGTGATGTGTTTTATTATACAATGTGGACAATAACATTTTTGTATTGCAGGAAGAACTTGTAGTTGAAAATCTTGATCATTTTACGTTGTTTGGTCTTGCTGGAAAAGATGGAAAGGAAGGATTACATCATCGTCCTGGCGATTTTGAGGCTTTGCCAGAAGAAACGGTTTGTAACTTCAACATTGTTGACTGAAAAAAATTGTTGTAGTTGATATTGAAATTTATGTTTTATAACTGATTATTGATTTCATATTTCTAGTGATGATAATAAGGCAAGCCTGTATAGTAGCCAGGGGGGTTCGTTGGGTTCGAACGAACCCCCCCTTTTCATGAAGTGCCCTTTCAAGAAATGCTGGCTAGCCTACACTTTAGACCTAGCCTAGAGCCTATCATCATTAAAAGTCCTACTTTAATACCCGATTGTTAGGCCTACCTAGTAACATAAAAAAATTCAGGCCCCGAAACCTTGACTCAGAAATACCGGGATGGTGTCCGGCGGGGGATAGTTTC